CGGGAGGAGCGGGAGCGGTGGGGCCGAGGTTACCGAGGGCCCCGGGATGTCTTAAAGGGGAGAGAGGGGTGGTGCCTTCCGGGAGACATCGGAGGTTTGTTCCTGAGCCTCGGGACAGCGCCGCGCCCGGGGCGCTCCCGCGACACGTCGGTGGCGGAGCGGAGCCGCGGGGAGCGGCCGCTCACGGCATCCCGGTGGGTTTATTCCTTACAGATAAGGCCACGAGCCAGCTCCTGCTGGAGACGGACTGGGAATCCATCCTGCAGATCTGCGACATGATCCGGCAGGGAGACACCCAGTGAGTGCTCCTGGGCTTTCGGACGCGCTGTGGGCACAGCTCTCCTGTCTGACCCTTCGGGGGTCTTGGACCTGCCAGCCCGTGGGAGCACACGTGTCTGTCCCCTTCCACAGGAGCTTTGGAAGGGCAGTACAGCACACCTCAATGTGCTGACATTCTTCCCTGACCTCAGGGGTTACAGGTTACCCCTGGCCTGAAATCCTCAGGGAAACTCAAGCTTGAATGTGCTTATTCCTTCCCAGTTTCCTCCAAGGAATTGTGTACCCCTGAGCTAACTGTGCCCTCGTGTCAGAGGGGGGGTTGGCGGGTTGGCAGCAGCAGGTGGGATCTCCCCTAAGATCCTTGATCCCCTGAGGATGTGTCCTCTCTTTTGTACCCAGAGCGAAATACGCTGTCAACGCCATCAAGAAGAAAGTGAATGACAAGAATCCCCACGTGGCCCTGTATGCGCTGGAGGTAACAGCACCGGACCGGGAGCACCGCGGGGACCTGGGGAATGTCCCCTCTCACCATCCTGCCTTCAGGCTGCACAGCTTCCCTGCCTGGGGCACAGCATGGAGCCAGCCTCCTCCTGGCTCTGGCACAGAGGTTTTGGGATGATCAGGCCGGGGCCTTCATGCTTTAGGTCTGTCTTGGCTTTGGAACAGGCAAAGCTGGGACTTGGGCCACTGTCCCTGGGGTCAGTCTCCAGAGAACAAAGGCCCCCCAGGCCCCTGTGGAGCTGAAGAGCAGCTGGTTCCCAGCATGAGATATGGATTGACACAGCCCCAGTGTGCCTCATTGCTTAAATAGTGCCCTGTGTTCAGCCTGTACAGTGCACTGGCAACACCATGGGTTGCAGAGGAGGCAGGAAACCGTGGGCTGATGTTGTTCTCGGCCCTTGCAGGTCATGGAGTCAGTGGTTAAAAACTGTGGCCAAACAGTTCATGACGAGGTGGCCAATAAACAGACCATGGAGGAGCTGAAGGAAATACTCAAGGTAAATTGATTTGTTTTTCTATCATTTTTTTTCTGGAAAAGCACCAGCAGCAGGAGGAAATGTGTGTGTCCTCTCCTGCATTCCTTTTGGGTGAGGAACAGAAGGGAAACTGGGAGTGCACTCCAGAAAAGAGCAAACTATCATGTGGTGTGAAGGGGTGAGTGTAGGGAGCGAAGGAGGATCTCTGGGAAGAGGAGATGTGGTGGAAGCAGAGGTTTGGCTGTGCTGTGAACGGGCAGGAATGTGCTGTAGAGGCCTGGACCATTCCATGATAAATGTTCCTGGATGCAACACTTGGCTTGGGACAGCTAAGGAAACCAGGTGATGGCCTGGCACCTGCATTGAGGACCTGGGGAGTGGTGAGGTGAATTCCCTCCCATAGAACAGTGTGAGACACACAGGCAGGTAAAGCAGTAAAGGAAAAACCAACAGGAGCTTCCTCTGTGTTGTGGCCATTTCACCAGCCTGTAGAATAGTTCAGGAGTTCTGCAGGATGTGACCCTGGTTGCTGGCACTGACAAGATTTGTCACAGGCTACCACCAGTCTGATGCCTGCAGGAGCTCTGTGTGTCCTTGGTCTGGAGAATTCCATGAGTGGAGTGGAAATGAGAACTCCTGTCTCCCGCTCCCAGAACAGCAATGCCCAGACAAGAGCTTGTTAGCATCGTGCTGTTCCTTCCTAACAGCTCCTGTCTTCCACCAGAAATAAACAGCCAGATGACCCAGATCCTTGCAGGATGAGCTGCGTGAGCCCTGTCACCTCACACACTGAGCAGGGTGTCTCTCCTGTCACCTTCCTGTTAGGGCTGACTCAGTCTCCATGCAGGATCTCCTCCCAGGAGGGAACACTACTTCAGTGGGACAGCCAGGTGTGGTAGCACAGCCTCTCCAAGGGCTGAGGAGATCAGATCAGATCCAGGGATTTTGTGGTTCTCTCAGTCCTTGCCTGCCTCAGGAGTTTCACAACTGCCCCATTTTCCTCCCACACTTGGAACTTTGGTGCTCGTGAATGCCCAATGCTGGTAAAACAATTCAAGTTCTGATGAAGTTCGGGGCTGTGACATGTGTGGAATGCAGGATCTTGCAAATCTTCCAGTAGTTGGACCTCCAGGAATTGTCAGTAAGTCACACTGTGTGGACTGAGCTCTTGGCTGAAATTGGAGCTTGACAGTGCTCCTGTGCTTCCTGGGGCATTTCTGGAGCAGCTGGTCATGTGGATGCAATGACTTGGGCAGCTGAGGACAGGGCATCTCCAAGGCTGGCTGAGCTCAGAATAGGCTTGCCAAGTTTTCTCCAGCTCCTGAAAGTGTGATACAGTTGCCCCTGCCTCCAAAGGGCAGGCGCCCCAGCTGTCCTCACTGTGTCACATTCTGAGATGGCTTTGAGTATTCCTGGGCCGGAGGTGCTGACACCTCCAGGCACCCCCAGCACCGTCAGTGCCCGGGCGAGGCAGGCCGTGCTGTTCTGGGCAGTTGAAGGTCCCGCCGTGTTCCAAGTGTGGGATGAGCAGCTCTCTTGAGGGGAGCTGCTGGGTGGGCTGGGCTGCTGTGGGTCCCGGAGCCCCTGTGCCTGGCCCTGGGCGTTTGCTCAAAGTATCAAGGCCACAGACCCGTTCAGTTGGTCTGTGCTGCTCTGTTGTTCCTGCCGAGGGGGGCAGTGGGGCAGCCGAAGGGGTCTGTCATTTGTGTTGTGCATCGTCCTCACTGTGGGTTTCTGACAGCTCTTGTTTCTCATGAGTACTCTAAACTCTCTCTTTCCTGACTGGTATTTCTGGCTTCTCTTTATGGGGGTTCACACCATCCTTTGGGTTTCAGGCGCTTTTTCTCAGATGTTTTCTCCTCCCTTCCTGTGCAGAGGCAAGTGGAGACAAGTGTCCGCAGTAAGATCCTGTACCTCATCCAGGCCTGGGCTCACGCCTTCCGCAATGAGCCCAAGTACAAGGTGGTGCAGGACACCTATCAGATAATGAAGGTTGAAGGTGAGGACCGTGGGCACAGGTTGGGGGACACCTGGCCAAGCAGCTCTGCTCTGCAGGAGCCTTGGCAGGACCTGCCTGATGTGAGCAAAATCTGGACTTGCAGCACTGAGCTTTTTCTTGGTGCCTGATACCCAACAAACCCCTTGCAGTGACTGAATCCCACTGCAGAGATGGGACAGCCCTGTGGTCCCAGGATCGGGGGTGCCTTGCTCTGGGCCTCCAGCCCAACCAGAAGTTCAGGGCTGGCGAGAAGACCTGAACAGCAGGAGGTGCAAATGTTCTTGGGGAGACTGACAGCAAGTCAGTGTGTCCTCTGGGGTGGGATTTGCTTTGAGGCAGTTCCTTCCTCCCAGGCTTTCATTCCTGCTCCCAGGATGGGTCCATGCTCCCCCTTTCTGACAGAGTATTGGTGTGACGCTTTTCCTCCTATCCCTTCAAGGGCAGGCACATGCTGCTGCCTCTGCCTCCTGTGCACCAGAACCTCTGTGGGCAGTGGCAGAGCCTGGAGGGCCAGTCCCCCCAAGCTGGTGTTGACACACTCTGGCCATTCAAGGCCAGAGTCACACAGCCCTACCTGCCCACCCAGTGGGCTTTTTATCCCCCCATGCTCAGTTCAAGGTCTTGAGAAATAAGAAGCCTTATCCAGAGGTTCCTTATGTCCCTTATAAGTGCATAATGGAAACCATCAGGGATTGTCTTGAGAGTGAGGCTGAGGGGAGGCTGATGCTGGTGTGTCAGAACAAGATACCAGTCAGGGCAGGAGGTGGTGCTGAGCTGGATCTGGTGTTTGTCCTGGCACCTACCGCATGAGACTGCAGGCACCAAGGCCCCCCTGTGCCAGAGGATTCCTTTCACAATGGGACTCTGTTTCTCCTGCAGGTCATGTCTTCCCGGAGTTCAAGGAGAGCGATGCCATGTTCGCTGCTGAGAGGGTGAGCTGTGTGGTGGGGGGAGCTGGCACTGCAGGACAGACCTGCCCTCCCATCCTCTCCCTGCGAAACCTGCAGGTCTTGCATTCCTCCCTTTCATGCAGACTGGAGACCTTGCTGGGAGAACTGACGGGGACAGGGAGTCAGTCCCATCATTCCCCTTTCTTGGTGGCCTTGCATCATCTTGGCAGGCTGAACATGGCAAGGCATTGCTGAAGTGATCACTATGCAGACATGTTCCTAGAGAGCTTTGTGCTAAGTGTGAAAGTGTCACAGTCTCTAAGGAACACAAGAGGGGATAACTTGTGGGGATTAATATTTCCTGTTGAGCTGCAAGTGCCTCCATTCTCCCCCATGCACGAGAGCCCTGTTAGACATTGGAGCTCCTGAAAGGCCCAGTGCAGACACTGTCTTTGAGGCTCTACTCCCTCCTTACATGATTTCTGTTGACCCTGACAGGCTCCAGACTGGGTAGACGCTGAGGAGTGTCACAGGTGCCGAGTGCAGTTTGGTGTTGTGACGCGGAAGGTGGGTGCTGCTCCTGCCCCTTTGGGTTTCTTGGCCCTGCACAGCCCTTGGGACTGGCAGAGCTCCCTGCAGGACTCTCTGCGTGGAAATGTGCTGGGGACAGACCGTGTTCCCTGGCCACTGGCAGGGAAATGCTGGGAGTATCTGAGTGTGTTGTCTAATGGAGAAGGAGTGTCTTGCTGCTACACTGATGTCTCCCATCCTTCACAGCACCACTGCCGGGCCTGCGGGCAGATCTTCTGTGGGAAATGCTCCTCCAAGTATTCCACCATCCCCAAGTTCGGGATTGAGAAGGAAGTGAGAGTCTGTGAGCCCTGCTATGAGCATCTCAACAAGTCAGTACCCTTCGTGGTGGGTTTCTTTGCTTGCGAGAGCTGGGACTGTGAGGGGGGAAGCATGATGTGGAGCCAGTTCCCTGCAGAGCAGGGCAAGGGTGCTTCCCAGGCTGTGCAGGCTGGGCTGGCCCCCTTCCTTCCCAGGAGCAGGGTTTGCTGCTGAAACATTGTGCAGAGCTGGGGCTCTGCTGCAGAGGAGGGAGCGTTCAGTCCACTGTCACCTCTCACTGCAGGAAGGCTGAGGGCAAAGCTGCTGCCACCTCCGAACTGCCCCCCGAGTACCTGACCAGCCCTCTCTCTCAGCAGTCCCAGGTGAGTGGCTGCCCCGTAGGTGATCTGGTGATCCTGACCTGTTTGTTGACCCCATTACCGACCACCTCCTCATCTTTTCACTTCAAGCTGCCTCCAAAGCGCGACGAGACAGCTCTGCAAGAGGAAGAGGAGCTCCAGCTGGCTATTGCCTTGTCTCAGTCAGAGGCTGAGGAGAAGGAGAGAATGGTTTGTGCACTGCTGGGATCTGGGAGGGGTCATTGCTCTTCAGCCCAGGTGTACTGGGCCATAACAGATCTCTGGGCATGTCCTGGCGTGAGCAAGGTGCAGGGCCTGTGGAATGAGAGGGTGAAAGCAGAGCCAGGCATGGGCCGTGTTGCAGTTGGTTTGGAGGAGTCTGGACAGTCCCTGAGTTGGCAATTTTCTCTTTTGCAGAGGCAGAAAACAACCTACTCCATGTACCCTAAGGCTGAGCCCACCCCTGTCACGTCATCGGCTCCCCCGGTCAGCACACTCTACTCCCCGCCCGTGGTACGTCCATGGGAGCCCTGGGCGTGAAGGCCACTTCCCGAGCCCGAGTCTGCCCTGCTTGTGTCCAGTTTAATCCTGTTCTGAGGGAAAATAGTTGCCCCATTCAACCCCTTGCTCCTTCACTGTGTTTTGAGCAAGAAGGTCTGTTCCTAGGTGGCATTTAGGTGCCTCTGCTGCTTCCCGGAGCTGTAGCGTGTGTCCCCTTTGAGGCTCTTGCTGGTGCTCAGCACTGGTGGTTGTACATGGCCAGGTCCGATCCAGACATCTGTGTGGGACCTGGGGGGTCTCTGGTTTCTCTGAACTGATTTTCTCTGTTTGTCTCTTCCCAGAATTCCTCTGCTCCCTTGGCTGAGGACATTGACCCAGAGGTAAGGATCTCAGCCCTGTTAGTCTGTGGCACAGGCTTGCTTCCACGAGGCAGCAACGCTCATCTTCCTTCTCTTCCTGGCAGCTGGCTCGGTACCTGAACCGCAACTACTGGGAGAAGAAACAAGAGGAGGTTCGCAAGAGCCCCACGCCGTCAGCACCCCTGTCCCTGACAGAGCCGACTGCGCAGCCTGGGGAAGCCCACCCCGCCCCACTCGGGGTGGTTGAGGTAAGAGAGGGCCCGGACCTGGGTCTGGCACCTGCCAAGGGGCAAGAAGCACCGGACTCCTTGGCTCTGCAGGCTGGCTGCCAGCTCTTGGCACCAGGGGGTCACGGCTATCGGCTGCCTCGTCCTTCCTTCCAGCAGCAGTACCAGAATGGCGAGTCTGAGGAGAACCACGAGCAGTTCCTGAAGGCGCTGCAGAACGCAGTCACCACGTTCGTCAACCGCATGAAGAGCAACCACATGCGAGGCCGCAGCATCACCAATGACTCCGCCGTGTTGTCCCTTTTCCAGTCCATCAACAACATGCACCCGCAGCTGCTGGAGCTGCTCAACCAGCTGGACGAGCGCAGGCGTGCGTGGGAGCTGGGGGAGCTGCTGGCCCTGGGCGTGGGCGGGCAGCTGCCGGGGCTTCCCCAGTGCCAGCGTTTGCATTCCTGTGACACAGCCTCTCCAGAGACTAGTGAGGAGTGCAGGGGTGGTCTGATGCTCTGTCCCCATGTCCCTGAGCCTGTCCCTTCCCTCCCCAGTGTACTACGAAGGCCTGCAGGACAAACTGGCCCAGATCCGGGATGCGCGTGGGGCTCTGAACGCACTGCGGGAGGAGCACCAGGAGAAGCTGCGCCGCGCAGCAGAGGAGGCAGAGCGGCAGCGCCAGATTCAGCTGGCCCAGAAGCTGGAGATCATGAGGCAGAAGAAGCAGGTAAGGCAGAGAAGCGTGTCCAGGATATTTCAGGCCTGCCTGTGCCATGGATCAGCCCAGGGCTGACAGGGACAGCTGTCCTAGTGGGAGGGGGTCTGTAGTGTCCTGGCTCCGAGCCGTCGCGGTCCCGTGTCCGCAGGAGTACCTGGAGATGCAGCGTCAGTTGGCCATCCAGCGACTGCAGGAGCAGGAAAAGGAGAGGCAGCTGCGCCTGGAGCAGCAGAAGCAGACCATCCAGATGAGAGCCCAGATGCCAGCCTTCTCATTGCCCTATGCCCAGGTACAGCTGCTGGGCCAGGAACCCTCCTGCCAGGTCCCAGGGCCTGCAGCCTAAGGCTGGCTTTCCTTCTCCCACCAGCTCCAGGCCATGCCAGCAGCCAGCGGGGTGATATACCAGCCCTCTGGGCCCACCAGCTTCCCTGGCACCTTCAGCCCAGCTGGCTCTGTGGAAGGCTCTCCTATGCACAGCGTGTACATGAACCAGGCTGCACAGGGAGGCACAGGGCCATACGCCGCCATGCCCGTCACCGGGACTGGTACGTTGGGCAGCTCATCCCACAGGGGTGGGGGTGAGCCAAGGTGGTTGCTCTAACCTCTGCCCTCTCTGCCCAGATCCCAGCATGGTGAATGCCTACATGTACCAGCCGGGGGCCGGCAGCGGGCAGGGGGCTCAGCAGGGGACAGCAGTGCCCACCACCACCCCAGCATACTCATCCTACCAGCCCACGCCCACGCAGGGCTACCAGGCAAGTGAGGCAGCACAGCCTGTGGCCTGCTGAGGTGAGGGCTGGGGGCCTGGGGCAATGTACCCCACCTCATCAACGGGATCTCTGAGCAGGAGGAAGGATGGGCTGGTTGGTCCCAGACCTCCAGATCTGCTGCTCTCACTGCGGGAGTGGGCTGGGGTCGGAGCCAGTTCCAGGCTCTGGGGTCTTGGCTGGAGCTGTGAGCCATCGCTGCCTGCGCCGCCTCTGACCAGGCTCTCCCCACAGAGCGCGGCCTCGCAGTCGCAGAGCATCCCGGCCATCTCCCAGGCCCCCCAGTCGGGTGCCATGGGCTACATGGGCAGCCAGTCCGTCTCCATGGGCTACCAGCCCTACGGCATGCAGGTGAGTGTTCCCCGCTTGGGCATGGGGGGGATGAGGTGTGGGTAGGCTCCAGCCTATGGAGTCGTCCTGGAGGAGGCCTGGCAGAGGCTGGGGTCTGTCACCCCTGCCCCCCGGGTGCTGCATGTCCCTTGGCCCCTCTGACACCCCTCCCCTCTCTCCCACAGGGTCTCATGTCTGCCCTCCCAGGCCAGGATGCAGCTCTGAGCAGCCTTCCAGCCCAGCAGTCCTACATGCCTGGGCAACAGCCCCTCTACCAACAGGTAAGTGCCACCAGCCCAGGGGGTGAGGGCCCCATGGGGGTCAGAACCCAGTGGGGCATGTGTGCTGATGAAGCCACATGCTAATGAAACCACTTTGTCTGTTCCAGGTGGCCCCAGCCGGGGGGCCCCCCCAGCAGCAGCCTCCACCGGCGCCAGCCCCCGGGCAGCAGCCCCCGGGCAGCGGAGAGGCCCAGCTCATCTCATTTGACTGATCAAGGCCACAGGGCATGGGGGACCTTGGGGGTCCTGTGTAACACTACTCTTCATCCAGAATCACTCTGTACTTCGACTGCTCCTCCTGTCCCCTGGCCCCATGTCCGGGGGCAGTGGTGCCGCAGGCTCTGGGGACCAAGCAGCAGGGGCACAGCCCCCTGCCCCCGACTGCCCGGGGCTGCTGCCCCCGGCTCACCCACCCACC